TATTATTATTAGTTTGATGGCATTAACGCGCCCTTACGTATAATTGTTTCGTCACTTGGGAGCCCGGTTTACAGTATAGCGCGTTTTTTACATGATATATTGGAACGATCAGTTACGAAACCTACCTCACATATTAAAGACGGTTGGACGTTCGCGAATAAAATCAAGAATTTGAGTATTGAAGATAATGAAATGTTAATTTCTCTTGACGTCACATCTTTATTCACAAACATTCCTAAGGAATTAGTTTTAAAAGCTATTGAAAAACGTTGGAGTGATATTTCATGTAACACAAATTTAGTTTGGCACAATTTTTATATGGAATCGACGCTGTATTAGAATCTACTAGTTTTCGTTTCAACGATCAATTTTATGAACAGATACATGGTACGCCAATGGGATCCCCCCTTTCACCTATTTTAGCAGACCTAGTTATGGCTGATCTTGAGACAGAATGTTTAAGCTCTTTACAATTTAACATTTCAGTTTATTATAGGTACGTTGATGATATTTTTGCAATAGTACCACGCAATAAAATTGATAACATTTTGACTACGTTTAACAAATACCATCACCGTTTGCAATTTACGCATGAAACAGAGATAAATAACAAGATTAACTTTCTGGATACATTGGTTTTTAGAAACAATGGTAAACTATTGACTAGTTGGTACCAAAAACCCACCTTCTCTGGTAGATATTTAAACTACCATTCTAACCATCCGTTTAAATACAAAGTTAACACCAATTAATAACTTAGTCGACCACGCTATTTTGTTATCGGATAAACGATTTCATAATGAGAACTTACAGATAGTTAAAAAAATCTTGTTGAATAATTGTTTCCCTAGGACGATCATTGAGCGATATATGTATAAAAGAACATGTTTTTTAGAAAATTCACATAACGTAGTTGACAAAAATAATGTATTTGATATTTCGTCTTGTATTTTAATGCCGTATGTTAAGAACCTAAGTGAGACTATTGAGAGATCTATTAAGAAAACAGGCTTAAGCGTTATTTATACGATTCCAAAAAACTAGATACATTTATTAAACCCCGAAAAGACAAATTACCTAAAGCCGATATGACCGAGATAGTTTATAAAGTTGACGGCAACGACTGTGACGCCACATACATTGGACAAACTAAAAGACACCTTAATACTCGGATTAAAGAACACATGAATAATATAAAAATGCATGTCAGCAACCAAAATGTTATAAGTAAACATAGAAATGATTTTTCGCATGACTTTAAATGGACAAACTTAAATATCTTACATCGAGAAACAAACACTAGGAAAAGAGAGATTGCTGAAATGTTTTTTTATAAAAAAATTCAATAACACGATCAACCTACAGAAAGACACAGAGAATTTGAATCCGATCTATGATAGAATAATCAAAGCTGTTTAACTTAGTTTGTCTTTACCATCCATACTGAACGTTTACGTAACACAGTATTTATATTGAAATATGTAAAATAAAAAATTAAGTATATATTGCACTAAAGAATTTGTAAGGTACGTTTTAATTTGTTATTACAATCTTGGTTTGCGCTTTGCTTTCTTAAAAATCGAAATTCTTGTATGTACATCTATTGTATTTTTTAATGTTAATTTTAGACTTGATAAGGACCTAAACCTAAGGTCGAAACGTTGTCTTTTCTTGTATATGCCATCAAACTAATAATAATAAGAATTAATTTAAGCCAGTTGGGTCGTCTCACAGTTATTTTTAGTATTATTTTATGTTTGATACGAATCTAAATGATTTCAATACATTTTAGTTGTGTGAAAAAATAGATTCGCGTAATGTTTGTTTAAACGTATTTTATCCTCCCGGATAAAAACATTTTATGTTCATTTAATGCGGATCGATCATGTAGATCCAGTTCTACACGAATCTATTTTTATCGATTAATAACTTAGTCAAGCTTCCGAGTCGATCCTGAAACTTTCATATTAATCGGACATCATAAAAAGTTCCTATCGGCAAGTCTGCCAGATAATTTTATTTAACTTATTAAAATGTTTATTTTATATGTAATCATGCTCACTGAGCATCTAACATAGCCAGAATGCGGCGAAGTAGCATTTAAAACAATAATCGTAATTTTATATTAAATAGGAACTCTTTATGAGTCGAGCATGAAGCGCGAAACTATAGAAAAGTGGAACTCGTGCCGAGTCGAGTCTACGCGGTAGCGCAGAGATTGGCCGGAGACCCAGTGGCGGGGCGCCGAGCGCTGATTGGCTCGCGGCTCTCTGGTGGGGCGACTCCCGGCAGCTTTCCTATATAAGACGGCGCGGAACGCTCATCGACACAGTCAGTCGGGAATTTTCTCAACGCGAAACTACGTCCGTTTGATTAGTAATCGTAGGTGAAACTATACCGAGAAACCTAGTGATCTCGCGTTTACGACGAGTCAAACCTACGTTCCTTCGTGTTGTGATCCGTGGCAAGAAACGCGGCCAATTCTCGTAAGAGATTGCGGTCTGAAGCGGGGTTTAACCGTAACCCGGTCCTGTCCCGTGGATAACGTAATTACTGACGGTCCGGCATCGTGCGCATTCATAGGCGATCGGTTACCCGATTCGCAAGGCGTAAACCCGCAAGTACGGTGTCGTTAAAACCAATCGTATCGATTGAGATATACGCGTAGGGAAAAAACTGTGTACACTTCGCGGATAAACTAAGTGCGTGTTCCTATTTGGATTAACACAATAAAACTTTGTGCCGAGCAAACATAGCGAGTGCGTTACTTACCCTTGGTGTCACATCCCACGGCGTTCCTCTCTTTATCTTTCAGCCTTCGTGTAGTAATTAACAATCCCGCGTAGAACCTGAAAATAATAGAGAAAGTGATTGCGCATTAGTCTTACCCGTCTCGTGTTGAGATTGCATCATCTGACGCGACATCGTCTGACGCAGCGGCGGCCATCTTCAAAGGCGGCGCGGCACGTCACAAAGGGCGAGCGGCGACAAAGAAAGCAGTGCGTACATCAATTCCTTGTTCCTTGGAAAGGTCAAAGGAACTGGCGACCATCTCGGTGAAAGCGGGGCGTCTGTTGATCGGTAAGTCCGACGGAGGGATTACCCACACAGGTTCGGTCACACCTTGGGCCCCCCGATGTTCGGCAGCAAACAGCCAATGCTGTTTACCGCCGCCCTAATCCTGGGGGCCAAGCGACGGAAATGTTCCCGCCAGCTCCACCGGCTGTCGAGTGTGAGCCCCAAGTACTTCATATGGGGCTTCACGTCAATCTGGACTCCTTCTACCTCTATTTGGATCTGAGGTGGCTTCCTCCTTGGACCGTTGAAGTGTATTACTTCGGTCTTTTGGAGGGCCACACCCAGACCCAATGCGCAGATTCTACCGACGACGAGTGCCACACCCACCGAAGACAAGTTCCTCGCATCCCCCCAATCATTCCCCCGGGCAAGCACCAGTGTGTCATCGGCGTAACACACAAGGTGCATGCCCGGGAGAAGCGCGCCCCGCAGAACCCGATCGTATCCTAGGTTCCACAGGAGTGGTCCTAAGACCGACCCCTGTGGAACCCCCCTGCTCATTCTTTGTCGATGCGGCCTTTGGTACCGCCCCGTGTAAGATATCCACCTGTCGCTCAGGTAGTCCCCGACCAAGTCTTGTAGATATTGAGGCACTCCATGGTGTTGGAGTGCCTCGCGGACGATCTGCCAAGGCAGCGTGTTGAACGCGTTCGAGATATCGAGACTCGTCGCGAACAACACGCCGCCCTTCTCCACTGCGTCATCCGAGAGGGCCTTGACGCGCATAATTGCGTCTATTGTCGATCTGCCCTCTCGGAATCCGTACTGGCTGTCCGCCAGGTCGGGTCCCACCAGCGACAGGTGGTCCCTGAGGCGGGCAGCTACTATTCTTTCGAATAGCTTGCCCGCCTCGTCTAATAAACATATGGGGCGGTACGCCGCGGGTGATTCTGTGGGTCGCCCCTCTTTCCTTAGGAGGACCAGCCTCGCTTCTTTCCAGATCTTTGGAAACTGGCCCGTCCTAAGGCAGCAATCGAATAATTGTCTCATCCTCCCCCCCAGAACATTTAGAGCTAGAGCCCAAGCCTTGCCCGGGATTCCGTCCGGCCCCGGGGCTGTGTTTTTCGCCCGGAGCCGTTTGACCGCCCGGGCAAGCTCCCTCCCAGTGACCCCGAGGTCCTCGCTCCATCCATTTTGGGTCGTAGGACCCCGGGGTCTGCCACCACCCTCCTCCTCCCTTTCGTCTGGGGGAAAGAGGGTGGTGACCACCTCCTCCAACATGTCCGGTTGGAGACCCTCTGTGATGGGCGGCCTCCCGGACTGCAGTTTCTTCCTGACAATCCGGTATGGCCGCCCCCACGGGTCCTTGTTGAGGGTCTCCAACAGTTCTTGCCACGCCTTGGCATCCCTGATGGCCTGCTGGAGAGTCTTCTTTGCCGACTTGTAATCCTCCAGCAGTTCGGCCGCCTCTTCGTTGGTGTGACGCCTGCGCCTGCATCGGGTGTATCGGTGTCTCGCTCTTATGCATGTTGCACGCATCCATGCGATCTCCTGAGACCACCAATACACCCCCCTCCTTTTGTGGTTGGCCTGGCACCTCGGCATGGCGGCGTCGCATACTTCCGTCATTGCCGAGCGAAACCAGGCCGCCTCCTCGTTTGCATCGCAGGCGTCGGGCATGGGAGGGTCTTCCCATGCCTTCGCTGCGGCGGCAGCCATCAGGGCATCCTCGTCTAGGCGTTTTAACGCCCATCGAGGGGGTAGGGGTGTACCCCTTCTCTCCACCGGGGGGCGTGGCTGGCGTCCCACCGAGGGGTCGGAGATTTCCATCCTTATATATCTATGATCGGATAAGCTCTCCGACCCCGCCATCACTCGCCAGCCACTTACCATGCGCGCGGCTTGTGGGGATCCCCAGGTAACATCCACTATGGATCCCCCGTTGTACCGCACGCATGTGTACTCAGACCCTCTATTTAAAATTAGAAGGGTTGTGCCCCCCACTCTTCTAGGACCTTGCCCCTAGCGTTGGTCACCGGGGAACCCCACGCGTCAGATTTCGCGTTGAGGTCCCCCATGACCAGTACCTTACCCGGGAGGTGGCGGTCTATCTCGTCCGCCAGCCTACCCAGATATTCCTCGAATTGGGCGAGGTCTCTGTTTGGAGAGAAATACACCCCTACCACTATAGCTTCCCCCCACTTAACCAATACGAAGCCCTCCCCCTTTCCCATTAGGGAGAGAGGGAGTGCTCCCCTCTCCGCCTTTCCGATGATGGTGACGAGGCCCACCTTATCCCCCATCCAGTTGTCTTTCTGGAGGACTCGATAGGGCTCCGCCACCACGGCTAAATCAATGTTCCACTCCGCCAGGTGTTGCATTAGCAGGTCTTGCGCCCTGGCGGAGTGGTTGATATTGGCTTGGAGGAGAAGAGCCTTCATTGTTGTTGTTTGCTCTTCTCCTCTCTTCTGACCTCCTTTGCGTTAACAGCCTTGTTGGCTGCTATCTTCGGTGCAATTGTACCCCTTTCCTCCCCCTTGCTTATTTTTGGCCCTTGCTTGCCTTTTAAACCCCCCCTTTGGTTGGCTTTGATATAGTTGCAAGCCTTGCTCCCGTATCTGTGTTCAGCCTTGTGCCCATTATCCTTACAATACGGGCAGCAAGGCTTTTCTGTGCAATCGCCAGCCTTGTGACCGTTTTGGCCACAACGATAGCAGAGGCCACTACGGTCTACCTCTGATTTGCAGGTGGCGCGTGTATGGCCCACCCCCATGCATTTGAAACACTGGAGGGGACGAGTCTCCAGTGTCTCTATCTTGACCGCAGACCAGCCGATAACTAATGGACCTGTTTTGGTCACTTTACTGGCCGCGGTCGATGGTAGCTGGACCCAGCACGATCCCAGTCCATTTCTGGGGGACCTGGAGATTTTTCCAATCTTGACGTCTTCTGCGGAGCAGTTTCCTTTTTCCGCTATAGACGCCTTGATGTCCTCGGTCGTGGTGGAGTCCTCCAGACAGGATATCCGTAGGTCTGTCCTCTTTACCGGGATCGAAACCCTGATCCCCCTGGGTTCCAATGACTTTTTTAGTGCCTCCGCGAGTAACTTGGCCTTTTCCGCGTTTTCACCCGGCACCTCATAAAGCATCCCCCCCGTTGCGGCCCTTTTGGGTTTTAATGCTGATATGCCGAAATCCTTCAGGTTAATTTCCTTTTGGATTCCGGCCATCGCCTCGCCCAGCGATCTTTGGGCCGCCTTTCCTTCCCCGTCAGTCGTTTCCATCTCGTCTCCTCTTTGAGATGGTAGGCTGATCAGGATCGCCGCTCTCTTGTGGAGACGAATATTGTTGGCGGTTTTCCCGGCTTCCTTTTTGTTGTCAACTTTTATTGACTTCCCTCCATTTGCCGCCATCTTCGGTTTTTCGGCGGCTTTTTGTGGGGGAGATTTGTGTCCCCCTTTTTTTGTTGGCTGTGACTGTTGCTGCTGCTGTGGGATCTTGTAGTTGTTGTTGTTGTTGCTGCTGCCGGTCGTCGTCTTTGCCTCCTTCTTCTTCTTTTCTTCTCGTCTCAGCCAGTTTCCACTCTTGGTCCTCTTTTGGGTCATTCGAGACTGAGAGGACTCTCATGTTCGTGCTGACCTCCTCTATGGAAACTATTTTCGGTTTCTGCACTAACACTTTGCCCTCGGTTTTGGGTTTCTTCGGGGAGCAGGAGCCTGAGGGGTGACAGCGGTGGTGGTGCGTGTCTTCTCCCTGGGGTCTGTTCCCTTTTTTGTGCCCGCTGTTGCTGCCGCATATGTCTTCGGGGGTATTACTCCTGTCGGGACTTTATTGGCGGCCGCTTTTCCCACCGGAGGCCTCGCCAACCATCCTCCCTTACCCTCCTCTAGCCTTCCCTCATATCCCCACGCTCTTCTTCCCATCCTTGTCCTTATCTTTTCCCTTTGCAATTCCTCCTTTACCATATATCCAGGCGTTCCCCAATCCACTCCTAACATCCATCTCAGATACCTTTCTTGTATCCTTTCCAATCCTTCTCTCTCTCTCCCATCCCCATATCTCCACCCCGTATCCTAAAACCGTCCATACTAACGCATCGAAGAGCTACAACCTCCTCCCCCAGTTATTACCAAATCTCCTCTTACCTATTCCCCATACCTGTCCATAATTGCTGCCCCTGCTCTCTTTATTCTGTCCCTTACCTGTCCCTCTTGCCCCCCATTCCTTTGAATCACATATCCTAAGTACTTGTACTCCTTAACCTCCTCTAATTTTTTTCCCTTCCAAAACCAACTAGCCTTTTTTAACCTCCCTCCCCCTTTCCTGCACCTCATCACCTTCGACTTCTTCTCATTCAATTCCAGTCCCTTCCCCTCCAGATATCTCCCTAACCTCTCCATCATACACCTCATCCCCCCCTCATCATCTTCCCAACAGCACCACATCATCCGCGTACGCTAACGTATAAACCTTGCCCTCCTCTCTAACCTCACACCCCCCCCCCCCCCTCTTCCTTCTTCATTTCCTCCTCCAAGTCCGCCATCAACATGTTAAACGAAATGGGCTCAGTGGGCATCCCTGTCTCACCCCCCTCCCCGTCCAAAACTTCTCCCCCACCTCCTCCCCTATTCTAACCCTGAACCCTATCTCTCCTAACACTTCCTCGCACCTCCTTACCGTCTCTTCCTTCACCCCCCTCCCTCTTAACACGCCGCCATCAACTTCACTCTGTCCACCGAATCAAACGCTGCTCTCAGGTCCACAAACAGTAGTACCATTTGCTTTCCTTTCCTGCTTATTTGTCTGTTTATTAAATTTAGTACATAGATATTATCCACCATTCCCATCCCTTTCCTGAACCCCGTTTGATTTAGTGGTAACATCCCTTTTTCTTCTATCTCTCTCCTTCAATCTCTCTGCCAACACCGTCGCATATACTTTGTATAACGACGGTGTCAGAGTTACCCCTCTGTACTCCGAAACCTCCTTTCCCTCACCCCTCTTCAAAATTGGCACCACCAGCCCCTCACTCCACTCCCTTATCCCCCCTCCCCCTTCCATATCCTATTGCATATCTCCCATACCCACTTCTCTATTCCCTCTCCTCCAAATTTCCACACTTTTCCCGGAATCCCATCCACCCCCACCGCCTTTCTTTCCTTTATCCTACCTATCGCCCTCCTATTCTATTCTCCCTTTTCTATCTGA